AAGTGGAGGAAGCAATTCCTCAGAATTGTGGTAAGGTTTAAATGACATATTATATTCAAAGCACTTTGTACTCATTAAAGATATTATGAGCAGATTCTCAATAAAGTGAATCCATTAACATTTTAATGTGTTACTTCAGGGTTTTTTTTTTTTTTTTTTTTTTGTGGCTAATCATGTTTTTTTGTGTCCAACAGAAAAATGGGTGGCTCAGCATCACCAGATAGCAGCTGGAGAGGAAGTCTCAAAGTGCCCTACAATGTTGGACCTGGCTTTACTGGAAACTTTTCTACACAGTTAAGAGACTATTTTAATTTTAACTCTTTTAAGGGGGAGCCTTAAAGAAAAAAAATACTAGGCCGGGCACGGTGGCTCACGCCTGTAATATGAGCACTTTGGGAGGCCGAGGTGGGAGGATCACCAGGTCAGGAGATTGAGACCATCCTGGCTAACACGGTGAAACCCCTTCTCTACTAAAAGTAGAAAAAAATAGCCGGGCGTGGTGGCGGGCGCCTGTAGTCCCAGCTACTCGGGAGGCTAAGGCAGGAGAATGGCGCTAACCCGGGAGGCGGAGCTTGCAGGGAGCTGAGATCGCGCCACTGCACTCCAGCCCGGGTGACAGAGCCAGACTCCATCTCAAGAAAAAAAAAAAGAAAAGAAAAAATACTATAGAGGATGACAGAAAAAGTAAAGTTTATGTAATACCAGCAGGAAACAAAACTGCAAGTTAGAACCAGTGTAATTTTTGCCAGTGAACAATTAGACATCTTTAAACAAGATTGAAGATTTAAAAATTATGAGTGTTGTTGGAACTCAGAAAATGGATAACCCAAAGTATGGTGTTCTGGCATGCTGAGCACTTTGAACTAAAGGATAAAAGTCCTTAGATGCAGCTTCAGAATCAATAGTTCTGACCTCCTACTTCACCCTACAAGAGCAGAGTGGAAGTTTCTCTCTGAAGTTCCCTTATCTGAAGCTCCTGTAGAAGGAAGACAATGACTTTTCTTTCCCCTCCCTGAAATTTTATTGACCAGGGAAGATTGAACTCATATAATAGGAAGGAAGACTGAGGCATATCACTTTACACAGGCCTTGTCACAAGCTGTAGACTGTTCTCTAGTTCCATTCAAGTTCCAAAGAGAATTATTTACAAACTATTGCCTGCTCTTCGGGTCCATTTAACTCTCTTGAAAACCGTTTACCATCCCTCAAAACCACCTGCAGTCCCCCACCTCCCCCTCCCCTGTGAAGAGGGTGCCAGTTAAACTTCAGCCATTTGGCCTTTGTTTGAGTCTCACATTTTGTTTGGCTCCTGTATACACTGGTGTGTTAATAAGTTTGTATGCTTTTTCTCCTGTTAATCGATTTTCAGTTTATTTGACCAGATTTGAACCTTCAAAGGCAGAGGAGAAAATTCCCTTAACCCTTATAGTGTTAATCTGTTAACCAGTTTTGTTTTGTTTTGTTTTTTAAAGAATGTCTTTTATCTTTGCATTAGAAAAGTCAAGATGCACATCCACTCTACCAGTGAAGTGACAAGAATTTACAATGTGATAGGTACTCTCAGAGGAGCAGTGGAACCAGGTAAAGGAATCATTTGCTTAGCAAATATTGATCAAGTAACTGTTATGTGCTGGATACTGCCAACCTCTGGGAGTGCAAAGTGAATCAAAACAAACCAACAAACGAACAAAGAAAACTAGTGGAACTCACCTAAAAACAAAATAAATAAATATGAAATAATTTTGTATTGTGGTACAGGTGGTGAAGAAAAGTGAATGTTTGGTGCTAGGCTGGGCAGATGACCAAGGCGAATGATAAATTGTGCAGGCCTTAATTAAAGGATCAAGGGAAGCAGGGTAGGGAAAGATGCGTTTTTTTCTGAGTTTTCTGAATTTTTTTTTTTTACAATATATTTTCATAGGGAAATATCTTCATGATAACTATAAACATCTATAAAAAATATCACACTCTTAGAAAATTAAGGTAATCTTGTATTAATGAATCCTTTGCATAGTTTTATTTTCCACAACTAAAGCCACTGATAAAATATATGGACATATGATTTCCATAGAAGTTCAGATGATCTACTAATTAATACATTTTATATGTAGTCTTAGTTCATGAAGCCTCAGTTTCTTTTGAACTATTTGGTTCTATATTTCTTACCAAAACAGGTACTATTAAATGTATATTAAACATATTAATTGTATGTTTCTCACAAGCAGTGATTTATTTTAGATCAAGAATATTGATATTCTTGTTGTTTGCATATTCTAATGAGCACTAAGCAATATATAAGTGGCTATTATTGAATAATACTGAGTACCTATTTTGTGCCAGCTCTGTGATAAGCATTGGAGATGGGGAGATAAAAGAAGACACAGACCCAAGACAAAGAACTCACAGTTTGTGAAGGGAGCCATATACTTAAGGGTGATCAATGCTTTATTACTCCCGAGAACTGGGTAGGCAGAGAAATTCCCTTTTCTATAGAAAATAAAAAAGGTTCATAGAGGGAGAAAATATTTGAGCTGTACCTTAAAAACTGAATAGAAAGAATAGGAATTGGAGAACTTCCTATGTGGCCACTATGTTCTCTTATTTTGAATATATTAGAAAGTGGTAAGTTAGGTAAGAGAGTAGTAATAGAGAATTACAAAAAATGTGAATAAGGATAACATTAAGCTTTCTTAATTACTTATATGTAGTACTTATAGTAATACATTGAAATATATATTTGCTTTATCACATTTATGCTTTCTCAGCAGAAACACATATTAAAATCAGAAATAACATATTTTCACAAATCTTAGGGAACCTAGCCTTTTTTTTTTTTTTTTTTTTTTTGAGTAATGAGTGCTTTGTATTTAGATGCTATTGAGTTGTTTGCAATTTTCTCTTTTATTGACCCAAAATGACAAATAGTCTTGTATCGATGCTTTCTAGACAGATACGTCATTCTGGGAGGTCACCGGGACTCATGGGTGTTTGGCGGTATTGACCCTCAGAGTGGAGCAGCTGTTGTTCATGAAATTGTGAGGAGCTTTGGAACGCTGAAAAAGGAAGGTAATACAAACCAACAGCAAAAAAGCCAACCTATCTGAGTCTCAGTTTAGTCTTCGGTAAAGGGAGTATAAAAATACTACTTCAGCCATTACATGTGTTTGGTAAAAATACCGATACAATTTTTAATATTGGTTGGTTAATTATATTATTTATTTTATTTTATTTTTTATTTTATTTTTTATTTATTTTTTTTGAGACGGAGTCTCGCTCTGTCACCCAGGCTGGAGTGCAGTGGCTGGATCTCGGCTCACTGCAAGTTCCGCCTCCCGGGTTTACGCCATTCTCCTGCCTCAGCCTCCTGAGTAGCTGGGACTACACGCGCCCGCCACCTCACCCGGCTAGTGTTTTTGTATTTTTTAGTAGAGACGGGGTTTCACCGTGTTAGCCAGGATGGTCTCGATCACCTGACCTTGTGATCCGCCCATCTCAGCCTCCCAAAGTGCTGGGATTACAGGCTTGAGCCACCGGCCAATTATATTATTTATTTTTGCCTTTATTTATATAACATTTACATTATTGATATTTATGTATTAAGTGATAATCTGAAATAAAGGAATTATACTGTTAATGGTTGTTCTTTGCAACTAAGAAGATGCAGATGGGTTACATCACTAGAGAAAACACACTGAAATTAGATTATAAGCCAAAGCTTCCTAGTTAGAGACTGTAAGCAGACGTTCCTCAGTCTCTTCTAACCCCAGACCTCAGGTTAAATGTATGGAGTAATTAAGGAGATAGATGTTCTGTTCAGAGAAATACTGGTCTTAGGTCTAATGGGATTCTGTCAAAAGTTTGGAATCTGTATTCTCATACCCTGAGCACTGGTGTGCTCTCACAAAAATTAGGTTTATACTCGTAACATCATCACTTTAGCCATTTTAGAATCTTCATATGATAGTCAAAGTAAAATTTAGTTCAAATGTTTGCTCTTTAACATAATAATTGCACATTGAGAGCAAGAAGTTCATTCTCTTTATTGACCCTGCAAACAAGGTATCTGGGGGCTGTAAAATATAACCTATATATTTGTAGCAACAATAAAAACAATAATATATGTTGTTTGCATAGTATTTACTTTTTTTGAGAAACTGTTTTTATATGTCCTATGTACTTTGAAGTCATAGCAACTAGGGAGAAGACATATTTATTTATCTTCTCATGTAACAGATAAGTTAACCAAGGTTTAGAGAATTCGATAGTTTCCCCAGGATTATGTAGCTAGCATGTGGCAGAATAAGAGAATCAGGGTTTAAACTCAAATTTCTGACTACCAGTCCACAAAACCATGATGTCTCTATTTAAAATAAAATGTAAAGGTGCTCGGTTCTTTTTTCTACACACCTATCTTATATTTGAAAAAAACAAAACAATGGAGACCTAAATTTACATAATTCACGAAGTAGGTAGTGTTTAATTTTGTTACAAAAATGTTTCATGATTTTGCTAGGAAATCCCTGTGGTAACTATACAAAACATCACTGTGACAATTATAAAATATGCGAAAGAAATGGAATGCTGATGAATAATAATAGGAAATTTGAATAATACTATTGACAAAAACAAAAGACTGGAGTCAACAGCTATAGTATATACATTCTTAAGCACACATGAATATTTACTAAGATGATGAGTACTCATAATTTTTGGGGCACCTACTGAGTGCTTTCTAAACATTATTCCATTTAATCCTCCCACAATCAAGTGGTGTCTTCATCTTTACTCTCTTGTTCCTGGTATACAGATGAAGAAGTGGAAGTTTAATAGGTTTGAATAACTTTCCCTTAGTCGTGCTGCTAGTGAGAGAACCAGGGTTTGAAACAAGATCTTGCCTTAACTCCAAGGTCAGTGTTTATAACCTCCAAGACACATCACCCCTCTATTGAATTATGTGGTTTTCAGCAACAGCAAACATTGCTGTTGCTAACTGAGCCCTTATTGATTAATTCTGGCAGAGAATGGAGTGAAATCATACGACCAGCTGATATTGAACAATTGTTTATTTGATGTCAGAACAATAGGAAAGAGTTTCAAAGGATTTTCTTTCAGTTATATCTGCTTTCAGAAGACCGAACACATCTAGAAATTTCTTTCTTTGTTCTAGGCAGTTGCAGACCACCAATGACTTCCTATGCATAGCCAATTTTTATAAACCTATTAGATTGTTTTATGATCTTGCAAGATCTTTACTGTCACATTTCCCCCCTTTTCTATGTAATTGTACTATTTTGTATTGACAACATTTTAAAATCTTACAAAAGAAAACTACGTAAGTAAAGATTTTTACCACAATTTGCCCTTCCCAAATAATCAATGACTGCTTTTTTGTTTTGTTTTGTTTTGTTTTGTTTTTTTCCATCTGGGCTTGGTAGTATCCTGGGTACATTATGAATTTTTTTCTAGCATTTATATATACACATATATTTTAGGGTGGAGACCTAGAAGAACAATTTTGTTTGCAAGCTGGGATGCAGAAGAATTTGGTCTTCTTGGTTCTACTGAATGGGCAGAGGTTAGTTGATAATTTGCTATAATATAAATTTTTATAAAATAAATTAGCCAGGACTTATTTGCCAAGCACGTAAAACTATGAAATGAATATAATAAGAAAATATTCAAAGATTTTTTTTCCCCAAAACCTGAAGCAACATATTCTTGTTCAAAAATCTGCAATAAAAATCTCTGTTGCTAAAGAACTAAGTTTTGTTTGAACTTTTAAGAGCCACTTAATGTCAATTGTCAAAATTATCTTTATTTCCTGGGAGTATGAGAGTAAATAAGCAGATATGCTAGAAACCAAACATCAAAACGAGTCAGTTTCTTAACAATACTGCAGTTTATTCTTCAAAATATTGTCTTAGCAAACATGAACGACCTAACAGACTTTTCCGTGAATATCTTCCCATAAACATGACATTTAAATGGAGATTCTTCTCTGATTTGAAGGGAATGAAGCTATTTCAAATTTATGAAAAATATGAGGTTAAATTGTCTCCATTTCCTGACCATGAAGTCAAATTCTCCTGTATCATGTTTGATTTCTGTAATGATTCTATTACACTTTCCAAAATATCTCCTAAAGCTAAATACATTTTTTTCTTTTTTTGAGATGGAGTCTCACTCTTGCCCAGGCTGGAGTACAGTGACGTGATTTCTGTTCACTGCAACCTCAGCATCCCTGGTTCAAGCGATTCTCCTGCCCCAGCCTCCCGAGTAGCTGGGATTACAGACCACCACACCTGGCTAAATTTTGTATGTTTAGTAAGACAGGGTTTTGCCATGTTGGCCAGGCTGGCCTTGAACTCCTGAGCTTAAGTGATCTGCCTGCCTCGGCCTCCGAAAGTGCTAGAATTACAGGCGTGTGCCACCACGCCTGGCTGTAAGGTATCCTTTTCATTTATCTTTCTTAATTCATAATGACCCTCTCTATATTAAATTATGTTAAAAGTAAGGCAAAAATTTCCACCACCGAATATTTACTAAGCCCTTTGAAAAGTAATTTTAACTGCATGTATTGTTGGCTTTATATAACCGAAACATTAGCTATAAGGTAAATATATGCAAAGTCAATATTTATTCCATTAATTTCCAGTCATGCTGTAAATACTTATTGGCTCCTCTCATGCTCCAGATACTATGTGAAGCCCAGTAAACTTTAGTTTTCTTTGAAAAAGTAAATGATGCTCTTGTAGACCTAGTCAAAGTTTTATAAGAGAATTACGCCAATATCTGGAAGAACCTAAATATTTTGATAGTGTGATTTGTGTCTTTCAAATTGTTTTTTTCACTTACAGTGCTTTTTTTTTTCATTTTTTATCTTGTAGTTAGAATGCTTAGGAAATTACATATTTTAGAGACTCAGAATCCACATTGATATCTCAAAAAAACTTTACTATGTGTTATTCTAAAAATGTGCAATTACCAATATTGACCAGGAGATGGTGCCATCCTACAGGAGAACCTGACTTCATGGTCAGGCGATGACTTAAGTTCACTAATTTTTCATGATATGAAATTTAATTTGAAATTTCATAAACTTGGCCGGGCGCGGTGGCTCAAGCCTGTAATCCCAGCACTTTGGGAGGCCGAGACGGGCGGATCACGAGGTCAAGAGATCGAGACCATCCTGATTAACATGGTGAAACCCCGTCTCTACTAAAAAACACAAAAAACTAGCCGGGCGAGGTGGCGGGAGCCTGTAGTCCCAGCTACTTGGGAGGCTGAGGCAGGAGAATGGCATGAACCCGGGAGGCGGAGCTTGCAGTGAGCCGAGATCTCACCATTGTGCCCCAGCTTGGGGGAAAAGAGCGAAAATCCAACCCAAAAAAAAAAAAAAGAAATTTCATAAACTTAAAATACCTTCATTCCATATGAACCAGACAAGATTTTCTGCTTAAATAATGAGATGTTTATAGGAAGATCTTCACTGAAAAGTCTCAGGTCATTCATGTTTGCTAAGAAAATTTTTTAAAGGATAAACTACAGTATGGTTAAGAAATTAACTCCTTTTCTACTTACCGTAAGTATATGGACAGTTTCATCTTAAATATTAGCTTTTAACAAGTTTTGCTTGTTTCCTACCAGTAATCTTTATTCAAATTCTTTCAAAGCAGCTCTTTTATGAGAATTTCTTATGTCAAATTTGTCATTAATATGGATCAGCTCAATTAGAGGTCTACATACATTAAATCGTTAAATGTAGATGTGCATTTTGTGGGGGAGGGGGAGTGGGTTATAACTTTATATTTATGGTTTTCCTTTTTATTATAGGAGAATTCAAGACTCCTTCAAGAGCGTGGCGTGGCTTATATTAATGCTGATTCGTCTATAGAAGGTGAATATTGTTGGTCTCATAAGAAAAGATGTGATTAAACTAGAGGCAGCAGTCTAGTTAATAAATTATGCACTAACAAGGAAGGCTATGTACTAACGTGTGGTTGGGGAGTCTACTGCAACCTCTGACAGAAAGCAGTGTGTGAACCCTAGTTGAGAGTTGGGTGAGGCCTAGGTGAGCAAGTTTTTCTTTTCTTCTTTCCTTTCCTTGTCTTTTTGTTTTCTTTTCTTACTTTTTTTTTTTTTTTTGCTTTGAAGTATAGAGTACTAATTCAGAAAAGCAGCATTCTTTGATTAGCTTCATCTGGCAGATTTCTTTTTATATATGGCAGGAATTTAGTAAGTATCTGTTGAATGATTAAGTCAGGGACCTAAAGGTTCTATAATTTAGAATGATGTAGGAAAAAAGTATCATTTGTGGGGTGCGGTGGCTCACACCTGTAATCGCAGTACTTTGGGAGGCTGAAGTGGGTGGATCACTTCAGGTCAGGATATCAAAACCAGCCTGGCCAACATGGTAAAACCCTATAGCTATTACAAATGCAAAAATTAGCTGGGCGTGGTGGCACACTCAGTATAGATAATATACAAAATCAATCTTGAATTATAATTATATGCAGGTACTTTAGAAAGGGTAGGATCAAACCACTCTGGGAGTTCAGAGGAGAGAATAATGGAAACTTCAGGAAAGGCTTGAAAAAATGGGATAGGCATTTGAGGCTGACTTTGAAGAATGGAAATACTTTTAATAAGCGAAGGACCAAACTAAAGGAAATCTCAGATTGATTTCCATGAAAATGAAAGAGTCCATTGTCACTACAATCCAGCTCCACTAATATGTCTGTATCTTGACCATATGCAACATCCCAGCCATTGCACTCCTATTCTCTACACTCAGATTGCTCTTCAACACCTCTTTATCTGTTTAATCCTTATCCTTAGACCTTCCTTTGAAATGTTACTTTTTCAGGGAAGACATTTCTTTGTGGCACTCATCACTGTCATTATTAATTATTTGTTTTACAAGTATTAGACTGTATTCTTTAACAAGGAATAGACAGTATCTTGCTTATTCACTCCTGGATTCCTAACGTCTTATTAAATAAATATTTGTGGCACGGTTGCAAAAAATAAAGGACTAAATGAATGAAGGGGGGATTTTTTAGAATATTTTCTTTAGTGTATTAGTAAATTTGCCATGTCAACAGTTAGAACATGAGACCTTGATAGAGTTACATTGGCATTTACATTTTCTTTTTCTTTTTTTGTTTTTTTCTTTGTTTGCTGGCTTGTTTTGAGTCAGGGTCTCACTCTGCAGTCCAGGCTGGAGTGCCTGGAGCAATCATGGCTCACTAGTCTTGACCTCCCAGACTCAAGTGATCCTTCAACCCCAGTCTCCTTAGTAGCTGGGACTACAGGCAAGTGCCAAATGTCCAGCTAATCTTTGTATTTTTTTTAAAATTTTTATTATTATACTTTAAGTTCTAGGGTACATGTGCACAACGTGCAGATTTGTTACATATGTACATTTGTGCCATGTTGGTGTGCTGCACCCATCAACTCGTCAGCACCCATCAACTCATCATTTACATCAGGTATAACTCCCAATGCAATCCCTCCCTCCTTCCCCCTCCCCCCCCATAATAGGCCCCGGCGTATGATGTTCCCCTTCCTGAGTCCAAGTGATTTCATTGTTCAGTTCCCACCTATTAGTGAGAACATGCGGTGTTTGGTTTTCTGTTCTTGCGATAGTTTGCTGAGAATGATGGCTTCCAGCTGCATCCATGTCCCTACAAAAGGAAAACTATCCTTTTTTATGGCTGCATAGTTTCCATGGTTGTATATGTTGCCACATTACTTAATCCACCTCTGTAACTGATGGACATTTGGGTTGATTCCAGGTCTGTTGACTATTGTGAATAGTGCCGCAATGAACACTACATGTGCATTGTGTCTTTATAGCAGCGTATTTATTAATCTTTGGTAGTATACCCCAGGAAAATGGCGGCATGGCTTTGGCAGTGTATGGTACTTGCAGTTCTAGATCCTTGAGAATCCGCGCCATACTGTTTATCCATAGATGGGTTGAAACTAGTTTGGCATCCACCAACGCAGAGTTAAGTGTTCTTTTCTCCAATCCTCTCCACACCCTAACAGCAGATAAAACAAGCCTTAGGAAGAAAACTATGGTAATTCACCCATGAGGGGACATAGGCATGGGCAAGGACTTCACGTCTAAAAACACCAAAAGCGCAATGGGCAAACAAAAGCCAAAATTGACAAATGGGATCTCATTAAACTAAAGAGCTTCTGCACAGCAAAAGAAACTACCATCAGAGTGAACAGACAACCTACAGAATGGAAGAAAACGTTTGCAATCTACTCATCTGACAAAGGGCTAATATCCAGAATCTATAAAGAACTCAATCAAATTTACAAGAAAAAAACAAGCAACCCCATCAGAAAGTGGGCAAAGGATATGAACAGACATTTCTCAAAAGAAGACATGCATACAGCCAACAGACACATGAAAAAATGCTCATCATCACTGGCCATCAGAGAAATGCAAATCAAAACCACAGTGAGATACCATCTCACACCTGTTAGAATGGCAATCATTAAAAAGTCAGGAAACAACAGGTAATCTTTGTATTTTTATTGGAGATGAGGTTTCACCATATTATCCAGGTTGGCCTCAAACTCCTGGGCTCAAGCTATCTAACCATGTTGGTCTCCCAAAATGCTAGGATTACGGGTCTGAGACACAGCTCCCAACCTTCATTTTCTTCTTTGTCAATGCCTCTGAGCTACATTGTTCTGAAAGTTAGCTTACACAGTGCATATAGTTATTCTTTTCTCCTTCTCTTAGGGTAGTGGCTAAGAGCCTGACCTTTGGCGTCAGATGCCTGGATTCATTCCTGGCCATGCAACTTCCTATTTGTGTGAACCAAGCTACTTACTTTTTGTGCCTCAGTTTTCTCACTTCTAAATATAACTTCTAAGAGCCCCAATCTCAAAGGCTCCTGTAAGGGCAAAAAAAAAAAAAAATTCATTTGCAAATCTCCCAGACCTGTGTCTTGCACAGAGTAAACATCAAAAAATGTTAACTTTGATTAATATCATTATACCTACTTAAAACACATAATAAGGTCAAATATACATATATATTTGCCCACCAAGAATTAATACTCCAAATATATTTTCTTGAAATGTAGAATAACATTCTCCTTATTGATAGTTTTTTCTGGTTTTTTTTTTTTTTTTTTCTTTTTTGTTCTTGTTTTGAAGTGAGATCTTGTAGTATTGCCCAGAGTGGTTTCAAACTCCTGAACTCAATTGATCCTCCCGCCTCCCAAGTAGCTGGGACAACAGGTGTGTGGCACCATACTTGGCCATAGCTTTTTAAGATTTGATATTTTAATGTATTTTAAAAACTCATTAAGCTTTGCTACTTATGTCATCCCTGGCTTGAAATTACTTCATTGTGTCTCTATAATTTTCAAAATTGAGAACAAAGGACAGCAGGTACTATATGATTGGGACACCATTCATCTCAGTTTGTTTTATATTTTTACATTGTATTAATGTTTCTTTCTCAAATAATACCAATAATCATATATTCTGAAATTTCTAATGTTAAAATGTAAAATTTACAAATAAAGCAAAACTCCCCAATGCAAACTACTCTCAAACTTAGTCCTCTCTCCAAAGGTACTACTGTACTCAGTTTTGGGCATTTCCATCATGTTGGCATTAATATATAGAATTTAGCTCCACAAAGCACCAAGAGTGTAGTGGGTGCTATCTCAGGTGCTTTACATGTAAAAAAATTATTCAGTACTCACCATAACCCTCTGAGATAAGTAGGTAAATGCTTTTATTATCTCTTTTGTATAAAAGAAGAAACTGACAGTCAGAGAGGTTAAGTAACTTTCCCAAAGTCACACAGCTAGTGAAGGGTTGAGCTTAGACTCAAATCAGACTGGTCTGTTCCAACTTTACCCTTCTAACCACTACACTCTTTTGTCTCTCACCACCTTATACAGGTATTTGGTATCATATTACAGCTAAATGGTTCTACAACTTGCCTTTTTCATTCAGCAACACATTATGAAAAGCTTTCCATATCAGCACATATCTCTGTTTCGCTTAAAAAACAAACACTACCACCAGACAAGAAAAATCTACATTGTATTCAATAGGACAAATTCTGTATCAATTCTCTAGCTCCTGGACAGATTGTTTCAGTTTGTTGTAGTTAATATTCTTTTATTTGCATGTTTTTTCTGTATGATGTGAGGAGAGGGTAGAGAGCTACAAGTATATTTATTTGGTTCTAGGATATGTGCATTTAAATTGTTATAAATGTTGCCAAACTATTCTCCTCCCCATTTCCACTCTTATAAGCACCTCTGTTTTAAAAATTACATTGGCTGTTTGTAGATATATATTCTTCCAGATGAATTTTAGAATTCTAATATCAAATTTTTAAGTTCCATAAACAAGTCTGCTGAGGTGTCACTATTTTAAAAGCCTCAACTTTTACTGTTCTCGAGCACGGATCTTAGGCTTTGGGATAAAAGCGAGTTGCCATCCTCTGAGTGTTTCATGTGCTTTTACATTTCTGGGCATTTGCACAGGCTATGCCCTTAGCTGCAAATACCATTCCCCCCGCCCCCACCCCCAACTGTGTCCCGGTTCTAGAAAACCCAGTTCAAGAGTCCCCTCTCCAAGTTTGTGAAGTTGTCTTGACTTCCCTCCCCCAAAACTCCTCCTGAGTCGCACCCCCTCCCTGTGCTGTCTTGGCTTCCCAAGAACACCTCTCCTGGGTGCTTCACTTGATTGTCACAACCACCAGCCCTTGACCTCCTGAGGAATGGGGACTGAAACTCTCAGAAGAGCACCTGGTTCACAAATTCATTGTCCCAAAAAATATTGATTGGACAAATGCTAAATTCTAGGATTGTTCTAAGCACTGGAGTATGGCAGCAAACAAAAGAGTGTACCTTCTCCCAGGGGACTTATCGTCTAGTTGGAGGGCCAATAAAAAAAAGACAAGTACTTAATATGTTTTATGTTAAATAGATGAGTAATATGGAGAAACATGAGCCAAGGTTAAAAGAGAGAGTGGCTAAAATTAGGGGGTAAGAGAGTGCTATTTTAAGTAGGGTGATAGGGGAAATCTCTCAGAAAAACATGACAGTAGACCAGAGGAGGAGTAAGTCATGCAGATATAATGCAGAATACTGTTCCAGGCTGAAAGGACAGTGTGTGCAAAGATGCTGAGGGAGTATTCTTGGGCAGAATATAAAATGCAGATTTCGAGAGGTGACCTGGGGTTTCATGTATGGCACTGTGGGCTTTGGTGAGGATGATGGAATTTACAGAGTTAGATGGGAAGCCATTGGAGAGTTATAGTTGAAATCGGGTTTTAAAACAACATTCTTGCTAGGAAGTTAGCAGTGGTCTTTGAAGAAAATAATAACAGAAAGAAATTAAATTTTAAAATCTATTCTTTTCTTATTTTTCAGGAAACTACACTCTGAGAGTTGATTGTACACCACTGATGTACAGCTTGGTATACAACCTAACAAAAGAGGTATATAAGTTCTACGAGTGATGTTTTCTTGAGGTATTATTCTGTTAAACATTGGTGTTGTTTTATAACTTCTTGTCGTCTTTTCATATAACAAATATGACATCCCATCTCCACAGACCATCACATCTAGTAAACTGTTTATACAGATTTCTTCATTTCTCACCACACCACTGTGAGGTAGCCCATGAGTAGCATCATGTCTACCATCTCCATTCTTAAAACAGTGAAACTGAGCTCAAAGAACACTGGCCACCAAAGTCACACATAACTCGTACAGTAGCCGAACCAAGACTTGGTCCTATGGCTCAACTCCTTAATTTAAAAACTTGTTCATACTCTTCAGTGATACCAATTAATTCGGGACACAGGAATCATTAAATGTTCTAATTGATTGAGAAAGAATATTCATAAGAATACCAGGTGCTGGCTTCCAGGAACAGAGGCTAGATGAGACCACAATTACATTTTTTCAGATAGAGATTATAAATAAAATTTAAATGCCATTAAGCTTTGGTTTCAAAAGAATGGAATGGAGGAGTGACCAAGATGACTGACTAGAAGCAGCTATGGTGTGTGGCTCTCACAAAGAGAAAGGGAAGGGGCAAGTAAATACAGCACCTTCAACTGAAACGAACAGGTACTCTCATTGGGACTAATCAAGGAAACAACCCAACCAAAGGAGAATGGAGAAAAGCAAGGCAGGACAACAGCCCACCTGGAAATGACACAGAGTCAAGGGAACCTCCCCCATCCAGGAAAATGATGAGTGAATGTGCAACCCCAAGAAACCATGCTTTTTCCATGGATCTTTGCAGCCCTTAGGTCAGCAGATACCCTTGTGAACCCACCCCACCAGGGCCTTCAGTCTGACACACAGCTGCATGGAGTCTTAGCAGAACAGCCACTCAGGCATGCATGGAGACACAGGAGCTTTAGATACTCTAGCTTTCCAGGCTTCATGGCAAAAGTAGCTGCAACTCCAGCAAAGCAGGAGGTTAGACACTCATACATACCCATAAAAAAGAGGCTGAATTCAGGGGCCTGAGCCACGATGGTCTGCAAGCCCCACTTCTACAGCATCTCACAGGATAAGACCCATGGGCTTGGATTTCCAGCCAGCCACTTGTAGCAGTGTTGCATCTACCTGGGAAAGAGCTCTTGGGTGGTAGGGGGAGCGGGGAGTAGGAATAGTGGGGTGGGCTGCCATCTTTGCTGTTTGGGTGGCTTAACCATTCCAACCATTAGGGTTTGGAGAGCCCAAGATGACTAGGGGTGGAAGCAGTACCCCAGCACAGCACAGAGGCCCCACAAAAATGTGGCCAGATTGCTTTATAAAGCAGGTCCCCAACTGTGTTCCTCATCAATGGGTGGAGCCTCCCAACCAGGGTTTCTGGCTACCCCTGCTGGTGTTCTCTGGCTGAGAGAGGTTTTAGGACAGCCTGGGGTGGAGCTCCCAGGAGGAGCAGACTGCCATCTTTGCTATTTGGGTGACTTAGCCATTCCAGGTTTCAGACTTCAGAGTGTCCAAGACAACCAAGGGCTGAAGTGGACCCCCACCACAGCATAGTTGCTCTACAAAAACGTGGCTAGACTACTTTTTTAACTGGGTCCCTGATCCTTTTCCTCTTGTCTGGGTAAGACCTCCCAATGGGGTCTCCAGCAACCTCCTACAGGTCTGTTCAGGCCAGCAACATGTCTATGACTCCCTGGGATGGAGGTCCCAGAGTAAGAAGCAGGCTGCATTCTTTGCTGTTTCACAGCCTTCACTGATGATTCTTCAGGTACTGTAAAATCTAAGGCAACTAGGGATTGGAGTCAAATCCCCAGCACAACACAGCAGCCCTGCAGAAAAGTGGCTAGACTGTTTAAAAAAGAAAAGAAAAGAAAAAGCTCCATCCAAAGGTCACCAACCTCAAAGATTGAAGGCAGATAAGCCCACAGAGATGAGAAAGGATCAGTCCAGGAACACTGAAAACTCAAAAGGCCAGAGTGCCCTCTTTCCTACAAATGACTGCATCATTTCTCCAGCAAGGGTTCAGAACCAGGTTGAGGTGCCTGAAATGACGGAAATAGAATTCAGAATATGGATAGGAACAAAGTTTACTGAGCTAAAGGAGTGTGTTATAACCCAATTCGAGGAAGTTAAAATTCATGTTAAAATATTGCAGGAACTGACAGTAAAAAAAAGCCAGTATAGAAAAGAATAGAGCTGAAAAACACACTACAGCAACTTCACAATGCAATCACAAGTATTAATAGCAGTGTAGACCAAGTGAAGGAAAGAATCTTAGAGCTTGAAGACTGTTTTTCTGAAATAATACAGGCAGGCAAGAATAGAGAAAAAGCAATGAACAAAACTTCCAAGGAATGTATGATTATGTAAAGAGACCGAATCTGTGACTGATTGGTGTAAATGAAAGAGATGGGAAGAATGGAACCAGCTTGGAAAACATATTTCAGGACATAATCCATGAGAACTTTCCCAACATAGCTAGACAGGCCAACACTCAAATTCAGGAAATGCAGAGAACGTCAGTAAGATACTCCTTGAGAAGATCATCCCCAAGACACACAATCATCAGATTCTCCAAGGACAAAATGAAAGAAAAAATGTTAAAGGCAGCCGGAGGGAAAGGTCAGGTCACCTACAAAGGGAAGCCCATCAGACTAACAGTGGACCTCTCAGCTGAAACCCTACAAGCCAGAAGAGATTGGGGGCCAATGTTCAACATTCTTAGAAAAAAGAAATTCCCATCCAAAAATTCATATCCGACCACATTAAGCTTTATAAGTAGAGGAGAAATAAGATTCTTTTAAGAAAAGCAAATGCTGCGGGGATTTGTTACCACCAGACCTGTCTTACAGGAGTTCTTGACAGAAGCACTAAATATGGAAAGGAAAGACTGTTGCCAGTCACAACAAAAACACACCGAAGTACACAGACCAGTGAGACTATAAAGCAATCACATAAGTCTGCAAAATAACCAGCTAACATCATGATGACAGGTTCGAATCCAAACATATCAATGCTAATCGTATATGTAAATGGGCTAAATACACCAGTTAAAAGGCACAGAGTGGCAAGCTGGATAAAGAACCAGGACCTATTGGTATCCTGTCTTCAAGAGACCCATCTCACATGCAATGACACACATAGATCAAAATAAATAGATGAAGGAAAATCTACCAAGCAAATAGAAAACAGAAAAATGCAGGGGTTGCAATTCTAGTTTCTGACAAAGCAGACTTTAAACCAACAAAGATGAAAAAGGACAAAGAAGGGCATTACATAATGGTAAAGGCTTCAATTCAACAAGAAGAGCTAACTGTCCTAAATATATATGCACATAACACAGGAGCACCTAGATTCATAAGGCAAGTTCTTAGAGACCTTCAAAGAAACTTAGACTCCCACACGATAATAGTGGTAGACATTAATGGCCTACTGAAAATAGTAATTAATTTTCAAGACATAAAATTAACAAAGATATTCAGGACCAGAACTGAGTACTTGATCAAATGGACCTGATAGATATCTACAAAGTTCTCCACCCAGAAACAACAGAATATACATTCTTCTCATCAGCCCATGGCACTTACTCTAAAATTGATCACATAATTGGAAGTAAAACACTCCTCAGCAAAAGCAAAAGAATGGAAATTAAAAACATCTCTTGTACCGCCATGCAATCAAATTCAAAATCAAGAGTAAGAAATTCATTCAAAACTATGCAATTCCATGGAAATTGGATAACCTGCTCCTGAATGACTTGTGGGTATATAATGAGATAAAAGCAGGAATAATGAGAACAAAGATATGACATACCAGAATTTCTGGGACACAGCTAAGGCAGAATTAAAAGGGAAATGTATAGCACTAGATGACCACATTAAAAGTTAGAAGTATCTGGTCCGGCGCGGTGGCTCATGCCTGTAATCCCAGCACTTTGGGAGACCGAGGAGGGCGGATCACAAGGTCAGGAGATCGAGACCATCCCGACTAACATGGTGAAACCTCCTCTCTACTAAAAATACAAAAAACTAGCCAAATGTGGTGTGGTGGCACGTGCCTGTAGTCCCAGCTACTCAGGAGGCTAAGGCAGGAGAATCATTTGAACCTGGGAGGTGGAGGTTGCAGTGAGCTAAGATCATGCCACTGCACTCCAGCCTGGGCAACAGAGCAAGACTCCGTCTCAAAAAAAAAAAAAAAGTTAGAAAGATCTCAAGTTAACAACCTAATATCAAAACTTAGTGTACTAGAGAACAAAAGCAAACAAACCCCAAAGCTAGCAGAAGACAAGAAATAACCAAGACCACAGCTGAACTGAAGGTGGTAAAACATGAAAACCCCTTCAAAATATTAATGAATCCAGGAGCTGATTTTTTGAGAAAAAATTAATAAAATAGAGTGATAGCTAGACTAATAAAGAAGAAAAGAGATAAAATTCAAATAAACACACTCAGAAATGATAAGGGGGAATATTTCCACTGACCCCACAGAAATACAAACATCAGAGAATGTTATAAACACCTCTATGCACATAAACTAAAAAATCTAGAAGAAATAGAAATTAGCTGAGTGTGGTGGTAGGTACCTGTAATCCCAGCTAGTAGGGAGGCTGAGGCAGGAGACTTGGGTGAACCCGGGAGGCAGAGGTTGCAATGAGCCAAGATGGCACCATTGCACTATAGCCCAGGCGACAGTGCAAGACTCCGTCTCAAAAACAAAAAAAAGAAAAAGAAAAAGAAAAAAAGGGATAAATTTCTGGACACATACACCCTCCCAAGGCTGAACCAGAAAGAAATTGAATCCCTGAACAAACCAATCGTGAGTTCTGAAACTGAGGCAGTAATAAATAGCCTTCCAACCAAAAAAAGCCGAAGACCAAATGGATTCACAGCTGAATTCTACCAGAGGTACAAAGAACGGCTGGTACTATTTCTATTGAAACTATTTCAAAATAATTAGGAGGAGAGACTCCTCCCTAACTAATTCTATGAGACCAGCATCATCCCAAAACCAAAACTTGGCACATACAAAAACAACAAAAAAAATTGAGGCCAATATCTTTGATGAACACTGATGCAAAAATCCTCAACAAAATACTGGCAAACTGAATCCAGCAGCACATTAAAAAGCTTATCCACCACAATCAAGTAGGTTTCATCCCAGGGATGCAAGGTTGATTCAACATATGCAAATCAATAAATGTGATTAATCACATAGGCAGAACTAGAAACAAAAACCACATGATTATCTCAATAAACTCAATCAAACTATACTATGAGGCTACAGTAACAAAAACACTATGGTACTGGTACAAGAACAGACATTGCAGTTTATTATATATTGTTGAATAACTTTGGCAACTCTACTGGCAGGAAACAATATTAAATTGAATACTTTCCCTTAACCAACTTGCTTCTTTTTATTTTCTTTGTTGTGAGAGGATAAATTGTTTTGATTGTAGTATCTTTTGATTCAAAGAAATAGACAAAAAGATCATACACTATGCCATTCATCTAAAGACAGTGGCTTGGTATGAATTTGGTGTAGCATGTTTATGTTATGCACTTCATACATTTATTTTTATAATATAGTTCACCTATATATAATAACATGAGTATTTTCCCATTTCTCAGAAACTTAGAATTCTTGATGACTGCTAATGTATGGATAGCATCCCTTGTTTTTGCTGAATTGTGGCTTATTCACTTCTGGTTAATGGACATCTAGTTTTTAAAATATCTGATTTATAAGTATTCCCTTTGTTTCTTTTAATTTGTGTAGCTGGAAAGCCCTGATGAAGGCTTTGAAGGCAAATCTCTTTATGAAAGTTGGACTAAAAAAAGTCCTCCCCCCGAGTTCAGTGGCATGCCCAGGTAAACAAATGAATGAAATTTCCACTGAATTCAGTGTGAGATTGTTTTGAAAATAAAAGCGTATTTTCTTTCAATTATTAAGTGAAAAAATTAACTTTAAAAATGGTCTAAAATCTGATAAAGGAAAAGCATTCCTTTGGTTCACGAATAAAATATTACTGTGTGTTCTGTAGTTAAATGTGCAGGTGATCAAAACGTGATTTCTCTTTAGAATATGTAATATATACATATGGAACATTTCAACAGATTATATAGTTTGGTCATTTTTTATATGAAATGTGTGGGATGAGAAGTATTTTGGACTTTGGATTTTTTTAAAGATTTTGGAATATTTGCATTATACCTACTGGTTGAACATCCCTAATCTGAAAATTCTTAATCTGAAATGCTTCAGTTAGCATTTCCTTTCAGTGTCATGTAGGTGCTTAAAAACTTTTGGATTTTGCAGCATTTAAAAAATTTTCTTATCTTTAATTTTTGTGAGTATGTAGTAGGTGTATTTATTTTTGGGGTGCATGAGGTATTTTGATACAGATTTTGGATTTTTGGATAAGGGATGCTCAACCCCTGATAGAGATAATGGTGAAAAGTAATTCTCATTTTTTTCTGTCACCTCATCACCTTGTAATTTTTCTTTTTCTGAATATCGTATAGTTAACAAATATTTTTCTTACTGTAATGAAAATGCAAGCATCACTTCAACATTGGTTGTATCTTCATAAGCAAGGGAAGAAGAATAAATATCTCAGTACTCTGAGTTTATCGATGTCAACAGCACAAATCATTTATATTATAAAGGACAAAATTTATGTCCAAATTATCTGAAAAATATTTGCTTTTCACTCTATTATGTACAACAGATAAAGATGATAAATGGAATGAAATAATCTTAAGGAAAACATTTTCCAGCTTCAGAAACCTTTAACAAAATGTGACATAAAATAGTCATTCCTACACAAAATAGTCTCATAGAAGGAGATATTTTGTGATGAAAATTAACATTCTTTTCATGTTTTTGCTGCATGTCTAAATCTGTATGTTCAAAATTACATTTATAATAGAATGGAGTTTAGTTTAATGAACATGTAATCTGTACTTAATGAACGAATTACTTTGAAATAATTCTGGTGTTTTATCTCTAAAAGGATAAGCAAATTGGGATCTGGAAATGATTTTGAGGTGTTCTTCCAACGGCTTGGAATTGCCTCAGGCAGAGCACGGTATACTAAAAATTGGGTAAGTGAATCTAAATTATTCAAGATTATTTATGAATATATTTTAACTAAACAAATAATTCTGACTCCAAAAAGTGACTCAAACGTTAGTTGAAAGCAGAGAGAAGTCTCAATGGTTGACAGTATCGCTACTACATAGGATAACTCCTGTATCTGGTATTCCTACCCTAAATTCAAGTGTCAGTTGGTATCAATACTCATGTCTGCAAATGTGAACTTCCATTTACTCCCTTAAACATATTTTCTGTTTCATTTGGTGGCACTGCATTCACTCAGTCATTTAAGTTGAAAATGTAGGAATTGTCTTTGATTTCACCCTCCTCCTTATTCAAAATTAATCAGTATCAAACAAATGAAATTTGATAAATTTCATTTATCAAACAAATGAAAAATTTGTTTAATAAAGAACAGACTATATATATTAGTCTGTTCTCCTGCTCCTAATAAAGACATACCCAAGACTGGGTCATTTACAAGGGAAATATGTTTAATTGACTCACAGTTTCATATGGCTGGGGAGGCCTCACAATCGTGGCTGAAGGCGAATGAGGAGCAAAGTTACATGTTACATGGCAGCACACAAGAGAGCAGGTGCAGGGGAACTTCCCTTTATAAAACCATTAGATCGCATGAGACTTATTCACTGTCAGGAGAGCAGGGCAGGAAAACGTGTCCCGCATGATTCAGTTACCTCCCACCAGGTCTCTCCCATGACACGTGGGGATTACCATAATTCAAGGTGAGATTTGGGTGGGGACACAGAGCGAAACCATATCAGTATAATACACTTTGAACGTGTAAAAGTCATGATTCCTTTTCTTCTGTTGTAGATTTTATATATATATATATATATATATATATACACACACACACACACATATATGGTTTTCATTTTCTTGTAAAATGGGTACATAGTTTATAAAATGTCAAGTAGTTTTATAAGAACACTGGTTTATAATTAAAAACAGTTGTTTCTTATTTCCATTTCATATTCATACCATCCCTGATTTCTGTTCATCAGATGAAACCTTTGTCAGCTTTTATGATACATCCATGTTTATAAGTAATATTTTAATCCTGATACGTCTTCATTTTTAAATTTTATGTTATAAAGAAAAATCATTCTCACACTTATAAAAATGGTAAGGAAGAGTTCATTCAAAACTATTCCAATAAGAATATTGCAATAATAAGAGATTTAGCTCAATTCCAAATACAGAAAAGACATTTGGCGATTTAGAGTTGACATTAAGTTTCTGTAAGTGTTTCCTCACAGGCTATTCTTCCCAGATAGAAAATCTTCAATCTCCTGTCTGTGAGGTAGGAAGTTAGGCAGAGTTATATGGGAGCTGATAGTGAGGATAAATATTAATATTGTCTACATTTTACTATGAAAAAAATTACAACAAATAAAATCAAATGACCACCTAAAGTTTTTGGTAGTAAGTCCTGAAGCCTAGATTCAAACCCTGGCAGGGAAATTCCAGAATCCCAGTCTCTTCAACACATCAGTACATAAAATGTCCTTTTATATTAATAATAAAAAATAAGCATCTTAATGGTCGAAAGTGATAAACTAGCAATTCACAGTTTGAAAAGTCCTTCCTTCTACTTATACTTTTGGTTTTCCTGACACCTGTCTGGGCCTCTCTTCTCTCTCCTTAGTGAGACTTTAGATCCACTACTGCACCCCTCACCACTCAGACTCTCTAGCCTTCAGCACACTGTTTGTCAGACAATCATTTATCCAAGGAATTTTAGTGATTAAACAATTTAGTGTCTTCTCCTATATAATATTGTGTAATACTTATTTACTTGCCTTTAACAATTCTGTCTTCTTATTTTTACCCAAATGCAAGATTGTCTTGTCTTGTTTTTTCAGATTCTTAAAACATGAATCTAAGAATGCAATCTTCTGCATTCTTAGAGGCAAACCTGTTTGGTCCCTTTGAAACATTTTTTAAATAATATTTGTTATATCATATACACATATTTTAATTGGTACAAACTTGGAGTGTGTTTACGTATCATAATATTAGCTGTTTAGGAAGTAACTTATTGAGATGCTTAAGTACTTTCCTTGATCCATCACTGACCAATCTTACTAATACTAATAGTAAATATTGGTGCTAATCATTTTATTGTAAGCTATCCTATAAGTGATATGTTTTGTTATTTTTTCCGTAGGAAACAAACAAATTCAGCAGCTATCCACTGTATCACAGTGTCTATGAAACATATGAGTTGGTGGAAAAGTTTTATGATCCACTGTTTAAATATCACCTCACTGTGGCCCAGGTTCGAGGAGGGATGGTGTTTGAACTAGCCAATTCCGTAGTGCTCCCTTTTGATTGTCGAGATTATGCTATAGTTTTAAGAAAGTATGCTGACAAAATCTACAATATTTCTATGAAACATCCACAGGAAATGAAGACATACAGTGTATCATTTGGTATGTTACCCTTCCTTTTTCAAATTCCTCATCTGTATGGTTCTATTAATCTCCAAAATATAATGGGCTATCTTAGGTCATTTATAATTGATTGCTGTTTCAAGTGATCCAGTATTCTGTTTATGTCTATAAACGTATTTTTCATTTTATGGATGCTCATATCTTATAATATAAAAATATAAATACCTTGTAAAACACAAAAGATGATGGCTTCTATATTGTTCCTTTTCTTGAACTTTGGACCAATGCCATTAGAAATTACGTTCTTTAAGCATTTGATGATCCCAATTTCTATTTCAGATTCACTTTTTTCTGCAGTAAAGAATTTTACAGAAATTGCTTCCAAGTTCAGTGAGAGACTCCAGGACTTTGACAAAAGCAAGTACGTTCTATATCTATATCTATCAATATCTGTGTCTATATCTACACACACATATATATATTTAAAAGGAAAGTAACATCGCTGTTGCTGAACTAGCTTTGGGAATTTCTTGCTGTTTTCTTCTTTTTAAATTTGTTTTACTTTAAGTTCTGGGATACATGTGCAGAACGTGCAGCTTGTTACATAGGTAGACAAGTGCCATTTCCTGCTGCTTTCTGTCTTTCCACTCTAGCACATCCTATGTAGGGCTGCCCTATCTCAAAAGACTTGCTTTCGACATTTGGAGTGGCAATTGTGCTGCTGCGAAATGTCGGTCCCTCCCTCCTGCCATTTGATCAGTTACAATATACTCTGCTTAACAATGAAGGGCCTTCACTGTGTGACCCCAGCTGTTTCCAGTTTTATTTCTTGTTTTTTCAGTATCTGTACATCATAACTCAGCCAGACTCTTTAATTTTCAAAGCGTGATTTCTTTCTGCCTCTTTTTTTTATTTCATTACCTCCACATAGAGCTCCTTATTTCCACTTCCATCCGGCAAAATTCTATTTATCCAGAATAGCAAATATTGTGAAGTCATTAATTTTGGAAATGTTAAACATTTAGGATTAATTCTGTGTAAGATTACACAAGTACAACACAATTTGAACAAAATTTTAAGATGGAAGGAAAAATACTTGGTGAGAATACTAAGGTAATTTTTTTAAAATAGAATTTTGAGGGCACAGATATGTGTATTAAATATAGTATCATGATGTAAGTATCAAATCCCTAGGAGCTGATGTAAGGACATATAAAAATATCAGAGTAGATGATGTAGAAATAGGCTCAGTGATATATAAGGAAGTATTAGTAATAAACGATACAGCAAAAATCAATTGGGAAAGATTAGTCAATCATAACATTGTATAAACTATGTTAGTACCTGCTATAAAATTAAATTCAGAATCACACTTCACATTGTGTGCTCACATAAACAACAGCTGTAAAGAATTTTTTAGTAAAAATGAAAATTTCTTGAAAGACAGATGCCAAGTTTAGAAGCAGTGGGGAAATGATGCAATCATATTTGAGACCATTAAAATGGTTCAGAATATGAAAATTAATATTCAAAAGAAAAGTTAAGAAAGTTGAAAACTTATTTTCTAGCACAAATGGAGAGTAATATATACATTATAAAAATATTTTTTGAAAATTAATTTAAATAGTCCAAAAGAACAAACTGAAAATATCAGTAAGAAACAAGACAAATAATTATAAAAATGTTGTCAAGATACACCTGTAAAGAAACATAGCAAAATATTGCAGTTCACTAATGCATAATTCAGAAATACAAATGAAAGTAATGTGACATTATTTTTATAACACAGTAATAACAATTTAAACCTTGGTTGTGCCCACTGCTGGTATACTGAAGCATATGGTCTCCATGCTTTTCTGACAGCATTATGAATTATTTTAGCTTTTTTGAAAAAGATAGATACATATTGGTAATGCGTTCAAGAACTGTCACAGAGTCCTGTGCTTTGACATAGGTATTCCATTTCTTGAATTATTTCTTAAGAAAAAGTCTCAATTTTGGAAAAGAAAGAGTGCTTTGAAAAAGATTTGAGTTGTAAAATAATAGCAAGTATTTCAAAATAACCTCTTGCCTAAGAGAAGAGAAATTACTAAAAAAATTGATATTCACCAATGTGAACATTTTATAATCCTTAAAATGGATTATTAGAAATACAATATAATAGAAGATACTTAGAATAAAATATGAAGTAAGCAAAAAGTTTATAAAATTGTAAATAGAGTTTGATTAATTTTTATTTAACAAATATAGGAAAAACTTAAAGGGAATTAATGAATTATTTTAATAATTGTGTTATCCTCAAGGAATATTGGAAGAATTGTTTTCCTATTATTTTCAATTCTTTATAATTTTTATATGTGGGTAAAAAAGTCAACAATGAGAAATACATTTTAAGGAGATCCCAAACACCATGTATTCTATAAAATTGGTTTTCTTTTTGTATTTAAAAGAAAAAATATTTTCTCCCTCTGGCAAAATGCCTTATGGTTTGAATTCTGGTTTGTTTAGGACACTTATTGTTTAGCACACTCAGCTTCCCCTTCCTTTAGTATTTCTACAGTTGTTTTATTTTCTCTAAATGATAGTAAAGATCCATTCTGTTCCCTATATATTTACAAACTCTGAAACACCTGCACAGTGCATTGCACATAATAATAGTAAATTCTAACTAAGTAAATTAAACTGAATGTTGAATTTCTCAACCAAAACTTTGAAATCTAAGGAAGAGACATGTCTTCATCCTGCTTTTCTTGTATTACTTCTTGCCCCATCAAAGAATATAAGATGTTGACACAGGATACAGAGAAAGAGAAGTGTGTGTGTGTGTGTGCGCACGCACATGTGTGCATTTACATGTGTGTAGCCACATGAGTTTTTGTACTTGTAGTAATGCTTTGTGAATTTGATTCCGAAACCCATAGCATCTTATTGAAATTATCCTTCATTCGATTGTCTCAACTGTTTATGGGAGCTGCTAATAGGTACTCTGTGTTTAATTTACCTTTATACTATCACAGAATCTGAATTCATGATGCTAAATACATAAATATTAAAAATAGCTCAAATCCAAATTATGGGGATTTAAGTTGTTCCTGTTTTCCTTTTGTCAGCAAGGTGCAGTTGAAAGAACAATACCGACCTCCTATTTCACTCTAAAACTTTCTAGTGTGAATTTAGGCAAGTTATTTAACTCATGATCCTTTGTTATCTCATCTACAAAATGGGGCTATTACCCTGCCCACCTTGCAGAATCGCTCTGAAAATTAAAAATCACATTTTGTATAGACATTCAGAACAGTAATTGGCACATAGGAAATGATCACTAAATGCTAACTGTTAGTAAAACAAAATTATAAAAAGCAAAAGATAAATTAATGAATAAGATGATTTATGCTTTCTTATTGTAATGATTTTTTTCTCATTAGTTAATTAAATTGTGAAAGAATTGGTATATTAAATTCAGTAACTCATTGTTGATGTATTCAGGGCTTGCTGATAAGCTTTCAATTATATTGAATCATTCTTGCTACAATAACAACCTCAATACTCATTTTGGAATGTAAGTTCTGTAAAAGCAGGGAGTGTTTGATACATAGGAGGTATCCAAATATTGTTAAAAGACTGAAGTAATCATCATCTCTTGTGTTCATAATAGGTTTAGCTTTAAAAATAAGAATATTGTTAGTTATCACTTGGCAAATATTTATAATTTGCCAGGCATCTTACTAAACATTAGCAGGTCATCTTATTTTAATATTGATATTACTTCAGTGAGTAGATTACTAGGATACCTAAGGTGAAGAAAATCTTGCCTTGTTATACCAATGTAAATAAAAATCACTATTATTTTTTCCATTGGCACATACAGCTGTTTCTGTGCTTTTATAAGCCTGAGCAGTATAGTATTTTATAGGATTTTAAAAATGTGATAGCTATGTATTTTATTTTTCTTAATTTGCATATTACAGAATGTTAAAATTTGCAATTTACATTTGAACAACAGTGATTTGAACTGCACAGGTCCACTTATACATGAATTCTTTTTTCCATTAATACAGTGAGCCCTCTCTATCCATAGATTTCATATTAGCAAGCAAACGCAGATGGAAAATTCAGTATTATTCACTGTAATCCCAGGTACTCAGGAAGCTGAGGCAGGGGGATTGCTTGAGCCCAGGAGTTTGAGACTATAGTGAGCTATGATCAAGCCACTGCACTCCAGCCTGGGCAACAGAACAAGACTCCATCTCTTAAGGAAACAAAATAAAATACAGTATTGATGGATTAAAACCCACATATATGGAGGGCTGACTATTCTTGTTATTTTTAAATATGGAAAACTTTGTATTTTGCCAAATTAAATCTTTTATTTTCAAACTTACATTTGAAAATATTAGCATTGCATACAGAAAATGATTTTGTTAAATATCTAAAAGTAGGATGGACATGAATCTAGAACAAAAGTATTTTAAGTAAGTAAATTCATTTATATGGAAAAAAATCTCAACAATCATCTTTCTTCTAGCTTTGATATATTAGAACTTTTATCACCAAATGATGCTTACTCTGCAAGCTTGAATCTGAGAACCTCAGATGTAGCTAATGAGAAACTAAGGAAAAACATAAAGTAAGATAATTATAGAAACTTAAAAAACAACTGTTACATTCCGTTTGGACTACTAGCCATGTGCTCCATAAACATTTTCTATTTTATATAATTGCCTATCTCATTGTCTTAACAATATGAAGACTAAGATGTCAAAGAGGGATTAAGCATGTGGTAAGAGTTCTACTGGGGGCAACTAACCCAAGGGAGATCAGATGTGGCTTCAGATTCCACATACACAGCTACATTTCCTCATTGAGGCAGAACAAGTTAATCCAGAAAGTCATATCAGACTCCAAGAATGCTGTACTTAAACCATTCTGAAAATCACTTGAAATGATACAATTTTAAGTAACTTTTAGACTTAAATCTGGATCATTCTACCAAGAGATCAATTTAATTTGTTTGATAGTTTGTTCATTCTCACCCTGTTAATTCCACAGAGGAGGAGGGCCCACTTTTCATATACATGTGTCTTCCTTGCAGGACTTGAGTATGCACAAATTTTGGTGTAGGGGGTGGTCCTAGAAGCAATTCCTGGAGATAACTAAATTCAGTTTTGTTCTGAAATTTTTATTTTCTGCATAGAAATATATTTTCATGAAGTTATAATTATATTCATTTTCTTTCTCAGCCCAATATTGTTAAGAATGATGAATGATCAACTCATGTTTCTGGAAAGAGCATTTATTGATCCATTAGGGTTACCAGACAGACCTTTTTATAGGTAAGAAAAGAAAATATGACTCCTTTCTATAATATCACTGTTTCTAGTAATTATTTTTATTTTTTTCATTGTGGAAAAATATTGTAGTTGATTTCTTGCAAGCAAATGGAAAATTTCAAAATATATGTAGGAAGTTATAGTGGTATTATTTCTTCATATAATGTAATATGATTTTTGCATATCTTTATTTTGAGTATCTTTGTTCTGATTATAACAGAATATATATTTATTTTAGAAAATATAGAAGATTCAGAAAGCCACGGCAGAAAATAAAAATCTCCGCAATTTTATCAGAAAAACATAAAATCATGGTTATATTCTTGTGTGTATAATTTTAGTTCCTTTCCTATTTTAAATACATTTTTGCTTATGTATACACACAACCCAAACATCTCTCTATATATAATATATACAATAAGTTTATATTTATTTATTCTTTTCCCTAATGTTGATATTTAGAAATTTTATTTCCTCCTAAATCCTGACAGTTGAATTTTTTCCTGCCAAACATTGACTGTCCCCAGGTTGATTTTCTAAATATTGCAGAATGAGATAGATCACTGGACAGCCAGAAATGGCCCTAACTTTCTTTCTAGGGATTATAAAAGGTTCTGGTGTGGTAGTAAGAGCATCTTCAAACAGGTTGACTGGATCACCAATGGCAGTATATTTTTATCCATCCCCCGCTCCCTTTTTTTTCCCTAAGAGACAGGGTCTCACTCTGTCTCCCAGGCTAGAGTTCAGTTGTGCAGTTGTAGCTCACCGCAGCCTCAGACTTTTGGGCTCAAGCAATCTTCCCACAGCAGCTTCCCCGGAAGCTAGGACAACAGACACATGCCACCATGTCCAGCTAATATGTGTACTTTGGTTTGTAGAGACAAGGTGTCCCTATGTTGCACAGGCTTGTCTAGAACTCCTGGCCTCAAGCAATCCTCCCACCTCGGCCTCCCTAATATATGGGATTACAGGCATGAGCTACTGCTTCTGGCCTCATCTACCTCTTTACTTTGGAGTTTGTCCTTCTCTTCTATGGGCTATTACATGAACGGTCTTAGCCCATTCTATAAAACATTTTCTGCCTTGGTCATGTGGAACATTACAAAATTGTTTTTGATGATTCTTCAAACTCTATGTTAAGTGTTCTAACATGATAGTGTGGATTTTTAAAAAATGACAAACACAATATAGGGTTGGCTGATCACAAACAAGACTGTAATGATCACAATTGTGCTATAATGTAGGAGGTAGCATGATATATTAAAAAATCAGCACTTGTCATGTGTTTTAAGACAAATCATTTAGTTACTTGATCTCTCAGACCTCAGTTTCCTCCTCTGTGAAATACTAATATCAACTGTGTAGAGTTTATTTCTAAACATTAGAAAAATTGTAAGTAAACATTAAATACCAATACCAAGCATGATTGCTGTGGTTTCTATCATCATTGTTACTTTTGTAGCACTGAACCACTTTATTTGTTTGAAATAAAAATATAATTAATTACTATAGATTTCACATAATAGTCTTCAGAGATGATTGAACTTGGAAGTTCAGTTGACAAGTGGCTTGTTCAAATTGTTATAGGAATATGCAATCCAGGAATTGCAGAGTGCTCTTGTGTTTCTCTTGTATGTCATTTGGGCACCTGATAAACAGCAAACGATTTTATCAACAGGCATGTCATCTATGCTCCAAGCAGTCACAACAAGTATGCAGGGGAGTCATTCCCAGGAATTTATGATGCTCTGTTTGATATTGAAAGCAAAGTGGACCCTTCCCAGGCCTGGGGAGAAGTGAAGAGACAAATTTCTATTGCAGCCTTCACAGTGCAAGCAGCTGCAGAGACTTTGAGAGAAGTGGCCTAAGAGGATTCTTTAGAGAATCCATATTGAATTTGTGTGGTATGTCATTCAGAAAGAATCAGAATGGGTATATTCATAAATTTTAAAATTGGTATATTTGAAATAAAGTTGAATATTATATATAGTTATGTGGGTGTTTATATATGTGTGTGTTTATATTGTTTCTTTTATCTTGTCCCTATGGATTAAAAATTAAAAATTGAATTTCATAATTATAAGAGGTTATTCTGAAGTGGAAGAATCAAACTCAGTATTAAATCCAAGGGGAATAGACAAATATCATAAAACTCTCATCTGGCATTATCAGGGAATCAAGTCTAATCTATTCATGTCACTTCACACGTAAGAAAACATCAGTATGTCATAGAGCACACTGGGGAATATGCACAAGACTATTCCAAGCCAGAGGCCTCACGGCCTGCCTGTCACCCAAGGCTGAGAGGATCACTATCTCAGCACACTAGTTGGGAAATGGATCAAATTACACTTTTAGTAAATGTAATCACTCTATAGTATAAGAAATAATTATTTTTTAAAATTTATATAAAAGGCTATAGTATAACACATATGTATAGTAATTAAATGAACATTTGTGAACCTAACAGCCATATGAAGAAAATAACATTTCCAATATCTTAGGATGCCCCATGCACTAATGACAGTTACGCTTTTCCATTTTCTTGAATTTTATGTTTATCTTTCCTCTGTTATTATTTATAATTATATCACACACGGCTGTATTTCTTACATGTTTTGGCATTATGTATTTTTGAACTTTTTATAAAGACAGTCATACCATGTGTATTTCTCAGGTACTTGATTTTTTTCATTGGCTTTTAAGGGTTCAAATATATTATCACTGTGGCTGTAGTTTGCCGTATTTTGCTGATACAGAACATTCATTCACATGAGAGTAAGATTCAGGGTCCATCAAGAAAGAGAAAACATATAATAATGTGAATAGGGAAAGTTAATGTAAAGAATTATTAATTGTTACAGCATTGGAGCAATGAAATATTGTCTAGTAATATGTAAAGAGAGGTCTCAAGAATATGTGATGAGCAGATATAAGGAATTGCTGTTATCTCCATGGTGAATTTGGAGCAGCCAATGAAGAGTCCCCTCACACTGTGGCGTCACTCAATGTTAAGAAGTTGCTGTGGTGTTGCCCTTGAACCTGCTTCAAATTGATACTTCAGAACTCCCCAGAAGTGTCTTCTGGGCCACTGTGTAAAGCTGTTTATGAAGAAATGTCAAGCCAGAGGGGCTTTACTACAAATTTGGCAAAGGACAGTTTCAGGAGAAGCTCTTGGCCGCTGGGTTCTCCTGGCCACCATGAACTTCAGGAAGTGGGCGCCAGAGCAGCAGCCACAGAATCTGGGCACTGGTGTCGCCCTGTATGCCCTCCATGTCAGACGCTGGAGATGTCATTTACGTTGCCAGAGTTTGCCAGGGGTGCACACAGAAAGCAGATTGGAAACCACCTTCTTGGAACGTCTCTCCAATGCCTTCTACTCACGAAGCTTAACATCATAACACATGACAAAGAACAACTATTTAATGGGCCCAGATCTATTTATGAAGACAATCAAGAGTGAGTTTGGAGTGGGTAACCCAAATTTGGATAACTGGTGAATAATAAAATGTATTTATTCATTTTCTGCTGGTATATATTTGGAATGTTTTATGTGTTTTGCTTCTGTGAGCATGTATCCTAATGCAAATATTCAAGAGATTCTCTTTCCTGACAGTATCTACCTATAGGTTGAATGTCTGTGTTGTAAAGTTTGTGCATCTTCAATTTTACAATGCCAAGCTGTTTCAAAGTGATTTTATTTATTTATATTCCCACTGGCAAAGTAATCATGTTATTCAAGATAAAAAACAAGTACGGAAGATTGTGGCATGTTAAAGAAATACAACTACTCAGTGTTACTAGAATCCAAGGGATTTGTGGGAAGAACAATCCATACATTGGGCACCAAATACAACACATAAGGCTTAGAAGACATTCAGAGGAGTGTAACTACTTTCTTGTAGTTTGTCAAAATCCCATAATAAGGTTAAGCAGGTAGGAGTATATACCTCGACGTTACTCTGATTGGCCTATCTGATATGATAGGGATACGGGCATATTTGCATTTCAGAAAGCATTCTGGCCTAGATGGATTAGAAGGGCATCAACCCAGCAAAAGATAAGAACTTTGTTTTTTGGTTTTTTGTTGTTGTTATTATTTGTTTGTTTTTAATACAGGGTCTCACTCTGTCACCCAGGCTGGAGTCAATGGCACAATCCCAGCTCGGTGTAACCTCTTCTTCCTCAGCTCAGGCGATCCTTCAGCCTCAGACTCCCAAATAGCTGAGATTACACGTGTACACCACCATGCCTGGCTACTTTTTGTATTTTTTGTAGAGATGGGGTTTTGCCAAGTATCCCAGGCTGGTCAAGAACTCCCTGGCTCAAAGTATCAACCTTCCTTGGCCTCCCAAAGTGGTGGGATTACAGGCAGGAGTCACCATGCCAGGTCCCAAAATATTTTCTTATGACAACAGTTGCCATGTAGACTTTATCCCCAGAAAAGATAAGACTACCCTCGTCCTTCAGGTCTCAGCTTACATGTCATCTCTTCTAGGAATACTTCCAGAGTGACTGCCCCTTCCATTATATTCCTTACTAGGCCATAAGCTCCTCAGAGACTGAGTCTCGTTTTTTATTTTGGCTTCAATCTCTATCAGTATGGAGAGTCCATAGATGGCACTCATTCTGTGAGTAATCAGAGTAGCGTGCATATGAGACTTTCTGAGACATTCTGTGCTTTGAAAATAAAAGCTACACTGCAGACTAAGATTTCCACAATGCCTTAGTTACAGGGTTTGGCTGAGCACGCTAACAGGCTTTTTGTCATGTCATTGTTAGAGAGTTGGACAATATTGTAGATGTAGGATAAGGTGAATAAAACTATTCTAAAAAATGGACCGAAACCTACATAATACTTGAAAGCTTTGTCAACTTTCAATCGATTCTGCAAGCATGCAATAAGCATCCCCCCAAATTATTATATGTAATTCGGTGGCTTAGGAACATACTTTGGCAACATATTTAATGTCACTGTCATTCATAAGAGGTATTGCAATGATAGGAACACAATTGTTTTTGTTTTTGTTTTTGTTTTGAGACAGGGTCTCTCTGTCACCTAGGCTGGAGTGCATTGGCGCGATCTAGGCTCACTGCAACCTCTGCCTCCTGGGTTCAAGTGATTCTTCTCCCTCAGCCTCCTGAGTAACTGGAATTATAGGCACCCACAGCCATGCCCAGATAATTTTTTTGTATTTTTAATAGAGACAGGTTTTCACTAGATTGGCCAGGCTGATCTCGAACTCCTGATCTCAGGTGATCCAACTGCGTCCACCTCCCAAAGTGCTGGGATTACAGGTGGGAGTCACCTCGCCTGACCAGGAATAGAGTTTTTAGAGACAGACTGCCTGGGGTCCAACCCTAGTTCTCCCACTTACTTACAGTATGGCTATGGGCAAATTATTAAAGCTTTCTGTTATTAAGAAAGTCAATGGTAGCTTGATGGAGATAGCATTGAATCTATACATTACTTTGGGCAGTATGACCTTTTTCACAATATTGAGTCTTCCTATCGATGAACATGGGATGTTTTTCCATTTGTTTGTGTCCTCTCTTATTTCCTTGAGCAGTGGTTTGTAGTTTTCCTCGAAGAGTTCCTTCACATCCCTTGTAAGTTGCATTCCCAGGTATTTTTTTCTCTTTGTAGCAATTGTGAATGGGAGTTTACTCATGATTTGGCTCTCTGTTTGTCTATTTTTGGTGTATAGGAATGTTAGTGATTTTTGCACATTGATTTTGTATCCTGAGACTTTGCTGAAGTTGCTTATCAGCTTAAGGAGATTTTGGGCTGAGACGATGGGGTTTTCTAACTGTATAATCACTTCATCTGCAAACAGGGACAATTTTACTTCCTGTTTTCCTATTTGAATGTCCTTTTATTTCTTTCTTTTGTCTGATTGCCCTGGCCAGAATTTCTAATACTATGATGAATTAGAGGAATGAGAGAGGGCATCCTTGTGCCAGTTTTCAAAGGGAATGCTTCAAGTTTTGCCCATTCAGTAAGATATTGTCTGCGGGTTTGTCATAAATAGCTCTTATTATTTTGAGATATCTTCCATCAATACCTAGTTTATTGGGTGTTTTTAGCATGAAGAAGTGTTGAATTTTATCAAAAGCCTTTTCTGCATCTATTGAGATAATCATGTAATTTTTGTCATTGGTTCTGTATATGTGATGTATTATGTTTATTGATTTGTGTGTATTGAACCAGACTTGGATCCCAGGGATGAAACCAACTTGATCATGGTGGATAAGCCTTTTAATGTGCTGCTGGATTTGGTTTGCCAGTATTTTATTGAGGATTTTCACACTGATGTTCACGTTCATGTTTGGCCTGAAATTTTCTTTGTGTGTGTGTGTGTGTGTGTGTCTGCCAGGTTTTGGTATCAGGATGATGTTGACCTCATAAAATGAGTTAGGGAAGAGTCCCCCTTTTTCTATTGTTTGGAATAGTTTTAGAAGGAATGGTAACAACTCCTCTTTGTACCTCTGGTAGAATTCAGACGTGAATCTATCTGGTCCTGGGCTTTTTTTTTTTTGGTTGGTAGGCTATTAACTACTGCCTCAATTTCAGAACTTTTTATGGGTCTATTCAGGGATTCCACTTCTTCCTGATTTAGTCTTGGGAGGGTGTATGTGTCCAGGAATTTATAAATTTCTTCTAGATTTTCTAGTTTATTTGCGTAGAGGTGTTTACAGTATTCTCTGATGGTAGTTTGTATTTCTGTGGGATCAGTGGTGATATCCCCTTTATCATTTTTTATTGTGTCTATTTGATTCTTCTCTCTTTTCCTCTTTATTAGTCTGGCTAGCAGTCTATCTACTTTGTTAATCTTTTCAAAAAACAGCTCTTGGATTCATTGATTTTTCTGAAGCGTTTTTCATGTCTCGATCTCCTTTAGTTCTGCTCTGATCTTAGTTATTTTGTCTTCTGCTAGCTTTTGAATTTGTTTGCTCTTGCTTCTCTAGGTCTTTTAATTGTGATGTTA